TTCGTCCAGGGGTTTTGTCCACATTTATCTTATTCGCCGGATATTTTGTCCACATGAATCCCGTTTATCATACATCTCATTCACCAGATATTTTGTTTCAGATATATCTGTTTGATTCACATATCTGTTTATGTGATAGAGGAGAGAAGAATTCGATGAATGACAAAGAAACCACACTGTTCCCGCCTGTGTATTTAATCATTGTTTAAATAGTCCCTTTTTTGTTTGATCTTGCGCTAATTTGTCTGTTTGTATATATTATCTTATCATCATCCCTTCAGATTGGAGTTGACGCCATGACAATTTTTACATATTTTCCTTTTTTCTTTTTCTTGATATATATATATCCACTTGTGTTTTTTTCATATCATGCCCTGATAAAGAAATTCGAATCTTCGGCAAATAACATCGTTTTGCTAACACCGGCTGTGTTTCGTTTATTATCAACATGAAGCCATCTCATCAGTCACCACAAATGGTAGCTGAATTTCATCTTAGCAGTGCCCGATACGCAAGCACCGCTGTACAAGAAGCTTGTGCTTTGCCCGACGCAAATCGCCTCATGGCCATCGAACGGTTGTTATTTCTACCCATGTACCAGCTAAATTGGCCAATATATTTATTTCGGAATTTTGCGGTTTTTAAAAAAATATAAGTAATACCATCCTAAATCGCGGACATGATGTAAGGAAGCTTACCCTATTAGTTTGGTAAAGACGATCCCTTTTTCAAAGAAGAATGAGTCTAATACTTCCGTTGGCATTACCTGGCATGAAGGCATTGGGCTGGATTTCGGTACCTGATCCGTCATAAGAAAAAATAAAGTTTTATCCACATGTATCTCATTCGCCGAATATTTTGTCCATATGATTCCGTTTATCATACTTCTCATTCGCCAGATATTTTGATATATATATTTCGTTTCCCTCATAAAACAGTCGCCATGATTATTCGCTCGTTAAAAAAACGATTTGTGAGTGAGACTTGTCTGTTACGTATAATTTTCAATCCATGCTAATTAACTTAATTGTGTCTAACGTAACTCGCGTTACGACTTTTAAATACAGTGCTACTCTAAACAAAACAAATGTAATATGTGGACATAAACACATGAGATAAACTGTCTAATGATATTTTATTTTGATAGGTATCTTTGCAATCTTGTTAATTCGTTATCGCCATTAGGAATCCGTATTTTTGCCATTTTGCGGATTAGAGAAATCTGTACTTGTAACTCCGATCCGTTCAATCGCAATGCTGCCACTCGGATTATTTTTAAGATATAACCGTTATTATCTCACGACGTAAAATCTATTTTAGTACAATGAAAGTCGATTGGAATATTTAATTTATCATCATAATTAATTTACCTTTTACAATCCGCGTCGCGTTTACAACTTTGTATAATGATAACACTGAAACTTTCGGCAGCAATATAAAGAAATGGATAAAAAGGTAAATCCAACGCACATTTTTTTTATTTATTTAAGTGATGGTATGGTTTCCAATGTTAACTAACCATAGTACCAAAACAATCGACCTTTTTAGCAAAATGCACGCGGTATTAGCGACAAGTGGGTCATGTGGTACAAGTGGTGCACGTGGTACAAGTTGTACACGTGGTACAAGTGGTACACGTGGCACAAGGGATACAAGTGGTACCATTGGTAACAGTGGTACAAGTGGTACACGTGGTACAAATGGTACACGTGGGACAAGTGTGACACGTGGGACAAGTGTGACACGTGGGGCTAGTGGTACACGCGGGACAAGTGGGACACGTGGGACAAGTGGTACACGCGGTACACACGGTACAAGTGGTACACGTGGTACAAGTGGTACACGTGGTACAAGGTACACGTGGTACACGTGGTACAAGTGGTACACGTGGTACAAGTGGTACACGTGGTACAAGTTCTGTACAAGTTGTACATGTGGTACAAGTGGGACAAGTGGGACACGTGGGGCAAGTGGGACAAGTGGGACACGTGGGACAAGTGGGACACGTGGGACAAGTGGGACACGCCATTTTTGAGACACCCACCGGATGTAGTATAAAATCATTTTGTGATACGATTGTTCAGCATAATAAGAGTAAGTTGTGAATGTCCTAGTAGCTAATAGAGTTATGATTTGTCAAGGAATGTAAATTTTGATAAGAGATCAAGATATTATTGTTGTTGGTAGAACAGAAGGCACAGTTTTGCAAGAAATAAAAAGAAAAAGGACGTCGATGTCCACCAAGGTGCATACGTAATAATAAGAACCGGCACTTGAATGTAGATAGATGGCAGAATAAGCACACCAAATTCACGAAATATATAATATAGTAAAAATTTAAAGAGTCTGCTTACAAACTTTAAAAGGCGGACCGCAAAAAACAGTCCGACGGGCCGCGTGTTGGGCAGCCTTGCTGTAGTGTAGGCAATATGCTTTGTGTGTAAAAATAATTTTGCCAAGTGCAAAGCGAAATAAAGATCGCAGAAAATCGACTTTTTCAAAGTATACAATGTATTCAATTTCTACTAGACTCCGTATAGCGAGCGACTCATACGAAAATATTTTATCGTTGAGTAAGTCTGTTGGCGCTCTTTTAATTTGGTGTTAGCAAAATGTAATTTGGTGGATATAAAACATCTATATTTGAGTATTGGAAAATTTATGATGAGAAATAACCTAAATGAGTGGTTCCCAAACGTTTCATAGTTGCGACCCACTATTCATGACCACAGCTTATGGCGACCCATTCAAATTTTTTATGACATAACACAGCAAGGGCTAATCAACATAAAACTGCCGTGTTTTCCTCGAAAATAGGACCTGGCCTGAAAATAGGACCTAACTTAAATTTTAAAAGTAATTTTAAAAAACCCAACCCTCAAAACGAATTTAAAATGTGTGGGAGATGAAAGGTAAAATGACCTGGGTAGAAAGTTGAAGATCGCACCACTATTCAAGATTGTGTGATGTCACAATTATGATATTTGTCACTTGATTTTTGTATAGGAAATACGATATATGTTTATCTCGTGATTTTCCACAATGTAATTTTATTTTTGATAAATGAACTCAAAAGACCTCTTCCAAAAAAAACATAGTGTTATTCTCCAAAAGGAAATAAATCTAAATCCTTTCTAAATTTCGGGGAAACACGGTAAGATGTGCTGTACAGTGTACAAAACTGCTATGCGTAAAAAAGCCACATGGCCATTATTTGTGTAGCAAATTTTTGTTCCTTTAAGAAGATCGTAAAAAGGAAACTTTGACAGATTAGAATTTAAATTCAATTTAATTTTTTTTTTTTTTTTTTTTGAAGATTTACGTATTCAAGTCGCCGCCTATCCTAATAATCAGTATAATTATTCAAAGCTTCCTACATCTTTTCACGACCCACCAAGATTTCTTTTGTGACCCACCAGTGGGTTGCGACCCATAGTTTGGGAACCGTTGAGTCCTAAATCATTACTCAATTCAATGTCTATGTCAAAATGGTTTTGTATGATAATAAAGAAATAAAATCGCATAAACTGCAATAAATGTATGCACCTATCATACTTGATGAATAGATAAAAAAAAATCTTAGTTTTCATATTTGTTGAATGCAATGAACTGATATTTTCATACATATTGTAGAAATATTTACCTAAGATAAATATTTTTTTAAATATTTATTCTTCTTAAATAATCTTATAACCTTATTTACATCGTAGCGTACCGACAGTCTCTGAAAGAATTATCCAGGTTCAGAATATCCTTCAATATGATCTGACGTCAAGTTTCCTCTCAATATTCACTTAAATTTATACTATTTTGTTCTATTTATTAATTATCCTCCAATGAAACGGTTAATACAACCAAACACTTCAAAGAAACGGAAAGCACACAACAAAAACAACAATACCGGCAGTGAAATATAAGTTAACTTATGACAGGCATTTTAAAAGACGATAAACAATTCTATATGTGCACAACATTTGAACACTACTGATGATAGCTAATTTTATGATAAAACTGAAAATACAACACTAAATTCACTGCAATGGCATCGCACTCAAATAAAAACATGATCCCACTGTCCAGCACAAAACATCCAACCAATCCCAATCCAACGGTCACAAAACCATAAACAAAAATATCAATCAAAGAGACCAGAGGTACTCCCTCAGACACTCAAAACCTAACATCCAACCAAAAAACAACCACACTGTACCGGTATCATCCACAGCACACGCTAATAGGACACCAAAGGACGGATCGACAGTGTCACCAGAGCCATTATATCACAGCGCCCTCAGTGTTAAAAATATACTAATAATATCACATGACATCATTTAAAAGATAAAACAAGGGTCGTCATAACATCAAAACTTTATTTGAATCTGGATTTTTTACCAGTTATCGTTGCAAGCTATCAAACGTTACTAACGCAATATTTTTTTAAATTACCAACTCAAATTGTCTTGATAACGCCCACCTGCGAACAATTCATATTTTCTCTGCGCTGTTGTAGACAGTACATATTTGTGGTGAACTCACTTTAACCCATAGAGTAGAGACGCGTCGGAGAAGAAAACTTGCTTACTTTTCCACGTTAATTTTGAAGCACGTGTTATTACTTGCAATCGCAATATTGCCCACAAAGTCGACATTGTTAACTGATTAGACGGTGCTGCGAGAGACAACATTGATAACAGATCCGGCATTCCTGATAGACTCGTCATTGCCGAGTGAGTCAACATTACTGAAATTGTCGGCATAATGAACATTGCTGACAGATTTGACATTGCGTAGCCTACTTGTACAAATTAGAAATTCCTCCCAATAGCGCACAGAATACATTTCCCGAATAACGAATAAAACTATATATTCATAACTATGTCTACTAACGCCCGATATAAAACTCGATTGGGAATGCAAAACAATCTGTCTTATCCAATAGGACTTCGTTAAAAAAATATGCCTTTTTATTCATGTTGCTCTTTTAATTTTTGAGAAACTCATTCTTTTATACATTCATTTATTACACATGCAAAAAATTGTACATAGTTTTAACAATGAACAATTCAACATATCAGCAGCCTTCTCTCTTCTTTGTTTATTTCCAAAAAGTCGATCTGGTCACTTTTTTTCTGCAATCGCATTTGCATGGTTTCTGCAATTATTATGCACAAATGAAAGATATAAAATATTTTACGTTAAGTGGGTACAGTGTATTTTTTAGTCCATTAATTTCAATTTTTTTTCAATCACTATTAGCGTTTAATCTATAAAGTACTTGTTGACACAAAATTGTGAAATTAATGCAAGAAAACCAATACAATAAAACTTGTCAAAAACGTTTGCTGTAAGTGTTAAACATATACATTTTTGTAGAAACCTGAACTCAATATACTTATACTGGAATAATTCAAACTTACAACATAAATAAAATATGAGAATAATTCACAGTTGGGATATTGCTCTACCTTAATTGTTATATCTCCCTTGAACAATCTTCCATTTACTTTGTAGATTGTCAACATCTCACCAACGCACCAAATAGTCTGACATTCGCATTCGGATCTCTTATTGGAGGTGCCACGCAGATAAAATTCAGAATTGCCTGAAGTTGCGGGGTAAAGTTTTTGCATACTAATATTTGAATTGTAATATTTTTTTAGCTGGCCACATGACCTTTGAGGAGACCTTGAAGAATAAAATATTTTTTAAATGTATGAAGAATTTATAATAAATTTATGTAATTGGAGTAATGACTTCAAATTAAAAAAAAACTGTCTGGTGCATACTGAACAGTAATGGTTTTTCTAACTAGGCCTATTTGCCATAGCCATTTCCCTCAACTTATTCAAAAGAGGGTTTATTGTCTTATTATCGTTGATCCGACTCGGGTTCCACATAGCGACTGTCAGAACAGCGACTGTCATAATGGCGACTTCCTAATAGTGACGTAATCAAGTGAGCGACTGTCAAAACAGCGACTGTCATAATGGCGACCGCAATAAAACAGTGACTGTTATAATGGCGTTAGGGTTAGTCTAAATAAAATGTTGTTTTAAACTCCCTTTCGGTTTCAATCTTTTACTACCCAGTGTTTGCCTGTTTGTGCGTGCATACGTGTGTAGAGAGGTTCCTAACTCTGGATACCCGTTGATCCTATGAAAATTGCAGTTATGGAAATTATTCAAACTCCAACTCCCTAATATTACTTGGGAATACAAAATTGGCGTTTGTAAGCCGGGAATTACTGGTCATTTGGAACTTGCAACTTGGTATAAATAAATCTCTATAATACCATTTTCTAATAGAGTTATATTGGAGCAGATTATTTTACAGATAACCTAAATATTTTTCAATGCAAACAGAGGTTACAATCTTTTGTGATCGTTTGGTGTCGCGAGCTGTGCGCTTCCAAAGTACACCTAATAGCTGAATAAAGAACATGGAAGCACATTGTACGTAGAAATTTACCTGCATTCGACCGTGACAAGTTTGATCGGCCTGTATAATTCAACCATTTTGTTGCATTTAGTCGATCCATAACGAGCAATGTAAGAGCATTTTCTGTCTTTGCAACTCGTTTTCTCACCTGTTCCCTTCTCATTTTGGCATACGTCATCTGGTCCTGATGAATAACTGTCGAAATATAATATATTATGGTGAAATAGTTTAATTCCTGACACAGGGAAAATTTTCTTCCTTTAATTGATGTTTTGATACCGGGAAATATTAATTACTATTAAATTTTACTGAAGTTTGAGTCATCAGGTGTACCAGCAACAACTGTATTGAATGTACAGAAAAAAATTATTATGAAACGTCTTGGACTTGTCACATACACCATCTGAATTAGAGTCTAATGTAAAAACAAATCTGTTTGAATTTGAGAAACCAAAATCTCAAATTTAATATTTTTAATGCAAGCTATCTGTCAAAACGCTTGTTACAAAATAAACGTACTATTTATTTTTCAGTTTTAACACTACGTCTTTTAGCATCATCTGTCAAAATTCGACTGAAAATTTGTTAATTAAATGATTACCTGAGCGGTGCGCATTTGGGATGTTTGCGGTAAACAAAGTTCTTATCTTTGCCGAAAGCAAATCCCAATGCCTCAGTTGCAGTAACCTGTAATGTATAAGATTACTTTATTTTTTGGTATTATATTTTATTTACAATATAAAGTGTATTAATGAATACATGCCTCTTTATCAAATTTAGCAAAGAATTCTGAAGGAACGAATTCTCGCATATTTTTCCATGCACCAGCTTGAACTTCCGCCATTAAAAAGACTATAACAAACAATATTCTCGGCATCATCTTGTAGTAAACAGCTTTAATAATGTTCAGATGGAAAATAGAAATAGGAAAGTTCTAAAAAGTACTTTAAATTACCAAGCTCATATTTGTAAGTGTAATAGCCTACCACCTATATTTTGCTTTTTCTGCAGTATTTTAATAAGGCGACCTTCATTAGAGGGAGTTTATTGTACAAGAGAAAAATAAACTTATTTGAACGTAGTCACCAAACTTCTATTTTTGAATTATGCTCACATTTAATAAGAGCGCCCTGTTCTGGCATCTGGCAAATAAAAAATTATGTTTACAAGATAAGAAAGCGAACTGAGGCAAAAACGAAATACAATGATCTCCTTATATTCGATTTTTTATTCAGCTTACTGACCACATCACATTGAAAACGAGAGAAATTATTCAATTATTTTATCATAACGCATATTTCGCCGTTCTTTAAAAAACAAGCTGTGCAACGCCCAATATAACTTTATATGTGTGTTGAAACAGTGTTTGTGTAATGTACCTTTGAAGATAGGCTTTGGAATCATTCATTGAATGAAATTCTTGTTTATATTATCTCATATTTGATGCATTTCCCTGAGTAATTAGAAGATGGAAAGTATTATGAAATATCTATTATAAGTTATATGGAGTTAGATAAAGACGATTACGCTCCAAACCATTAATTTTTTACTACTTCCAACCACAACAAAAAAAAACGGAACAAAACAAGCATTTTTTTAAAACTTACATCGCATCTAAAAACGCTTATATACGTTTTCTATAATGACAACAAGCACTATTGTCAAGAAAAATAGAAAATGCTGCAACGTAATTGAAGTTTTTTATTCAAATTATGGTAATAGACTTCCGGACTCTTTGATGAATTTTTGAAATATAGAAAAATCAAACAAATTTGACCATTCGTTGCAAAAGAAGGCTTTTTTTCTCGTTAAGAACTATCACACAAAGAATACCAAGAATTTAGAAAATATTTCACAAGCGACCAATACCCGTTTGAATAAACAAGGATATTACATAGGCTCTGTGTTGTGTGCCCTAGCAACCTTGCACGACTTTGTGCAGAACTTATGTAATATCCTTGGTGTTCTTCTCACTGGATGAATGTAATGAATTAATTACTTTTTTTCCGCGCATCCTGTCTGTTTTTTCTTGGGCAAAAGCGGAAATGTTTGTACGTTTAATTTTCCACTACACAAGAAAAAAACTTTATGACTGCGTTTTTATTTCTGATAAGAGAAACTTATATGTAGTACTTTGATAGCAACAGCTAATGAGACATTGCCTGTATCTTTCAATTCGCGTTAAGTATTAATTACCTCAAAAAAAGTATTAATGACAAAGAGAGTTATAAAAAATGTTGAATATTAGTTCCTTCACTCTTCATCGGTAATGACAAGAATTGGTCAACGCAATCTAGTTTGGACAAGGGATTTTTGAGTAGAATCGAGCTCAGACAATAATGACAATTTTTGTCAATAATTTATATTACCGAGACAAATAAAAAGACATCATCTATAACGGTAACATTTCTTGTAGAACTGTGTAGGAAAATGTGTTTCGAAACTGCTTGTTTTTGTACATTGAAAACGTTATCTGATCCGCCATTCTTAACATCGCATAAATAGACATTTAAGATACATAGATCGTTGAAAGGTTTGGCATTTTACAAAATGCTCCGAGCTATAAATGCTTTCACTATTAGCGATTGTATATGATAATTTTAAAATAATACCGAGATAAATGCAGAGCTCTCGTCAATTGTGGTAACATTTCTCAGTCCTGTTTATGAAAATGTGTTTGGTATACTTGTTTTTATGTATTAAAGACGTTGTTTAAACTGATTCACCATTCCCACAATCGCATAAACAGATCTTTAATAAACGTCTGTACCTTCAAACTTTGTTATACCGCATTCTATGATGTAATGAACCGATATATATTGTTATAAAATTAATCTGACAAAGACCTAAAATGAAATTTGTTTAAAACATTCTATTCTCCATCTTCAAATAAATTTATATTTGCGTGTGCAATCTATTTGCACTTCACTTCAAATCTCAATAAAGAAATTTTTCAGATTTGTTTACTTCAAAAATAATTTGCTAATTACAAATTTACCTTTTTAGACCTCAATAAAATATTAATCTAATGACTTCACGATTTTTTTCGATGTCTTCAATTTTAGATATTGCTACCAAACTAGTATATTAAATCTAGTCATGAGGCCGAATAGACATTGTATAAATGTACAAATCATAAACATCACTTAATAGATAAGACTGGGCATTTTGAATCGAATATTCTACTCGAATTGAATAGTAAATTATTGGTGCATACGAAAATTCTGAATCGCCGCCATCTTGTTTTTTGTTCGCCAAACTTCAGCAGTGAACCCTTAACATTTTTTATATATTATTAGAAATTGTAATTCTGGCATAAGGCCTTTTTTCTTCCGAGTGTGAATACTCAGCAACAGTTTGGGTGACGGATTGATTCTATTTCAGTATTTTTTTAATATACAAAGGTATTATTTTGTGATACGATATTATATGAGTCAAAGATTTGACGTAATATAATTTCAGTGCCAGTTTTTACCTTGTATTTTCCTTCAAAGTCAATATTAACACAATATTAAGCAGAAACGAGTTTGACATTTTCAACATGAATATCAGGACGAAGAAAGAAACAATTTCCTAATCTTTCACTGCCCACCAATTCAATATTCGATCATTTTAGCTGGGGCTATTTTCAGTCGTAATTATTATAAACTTTAAGTATGTTTTGCACGTAATGAACCAGTGTTACATAGTATACCTTAAAACGCTTAATTTATGAAACCGATTATTTATAAGTGCTGATAGTTGATTGCCGAGATAAAAGTATAGTGGTCAGGAACAATTCATTCCCTGTTCATTTCTTAGATTTGATCATGTTAGAAATGTCTACTTATTTTGATGTAATAATCCGTTTTAAAATTCTTGTCACAGTCACTTGTATAATGATACTAGATTGACATTCTGGTAATTATACGCGTTAAATGTACATTCCTCAAACCTTTATCGCACTAAACAACGTCACATTCAGCTGTACGGAACTAAACAATGTGGTAATAGAATTTCGACAATCGAGAAAACGATTATTTTGTGGCAATGTCGTATGATATTACCTGAAAATTATTTCTGGAAGGTTTCGGTTAATATTATTATAATTTATTTTATCCCCCTACTATCTAAATGTATTTGCCCAAAATGTACGATATTTTTTTTAATATCCTTCGATCCATGCACTAATGCCATACCCAGACAGTTTCAATTTTGTTCCAGACGTGATGCAAATAATCTTTGGCTGATGATAACTCTGTGGACGTGACGTCTGAAAAAATAATGAGCTCGTATTTTTAAATGGTATCCTGGAAAATATTGAATATTTGATCGCTGTGCTTGAGACTTTGTAAGCAATTGTTTGGTTTCTGAAGAAAAAAAGATTGTGATATTTTTAAATGTTGTAGAAATTGTACATATTTATGCTCATTGCATTCTCTTTTGGAATTATGATATGGAGTGATCTTATAACACCTGGTGCATCCATTCCTAACTTTACACCCTCAAATTTGATGAATTTCTGCGTTATGCATGGTGCGTATCTCGGGATATGAAAGGTACCTTCTGTAGCAGATCTAGGGCAATACGGATGAACATTATTCTACGAATGCCTTTGAAAGTTTGCCGTCAACGTACTAATGCAAGAGTTTTATTATCTCAAATTCATGGACGTCGCGCCTTTCCATTATTCTACATGTATTATACAATGGATCGAGTCTGGATCGTAAGAAATCGTTACCTATAGCTCGATTTGATTCGTTTTGCAACTAGGGATGGGACGAGTCCGGCATTACAGAGGTTCGACGAATCCGAGTAATAGGTCAAGGACTCGAATCGAATCCTCCGAGTCCGTGACGTCACAATGTAAAAGTAGAAAACTCATTTTTGACCATACTACAGCATTGTGCGCTAACAAACATACGTCGTAGCTCATATTTTTTGCCTAATGGTTCCGCAGATAGCTGCTAAATCAATTTGAAATATATTTTCCTTCTTTTTTGGCGGCGATAATACAAACGTAAACGTGGGTCAATGTGCGCCTTGCCTGTGAACTGAATTTCCAGCCCACCTCTTGCGTCAATTCTGGGCGGCAATTTAGAAATTCTTACATGTCAATATGAAAAGTGAGAAGCTTTTGACTACAATGCTTTCCTGTAATTTCAGACATTTCTAGCCTTAAATATACTATGTCGCGTGCGCAAATTGTAGAGAGATGCCACTCGTCGTAAATACAATGCTTGCCATTTAGTAGTTCATGTAAACGTTCTAAAACGCTCCATGCTTTTCATTGCTCCTTTTTTAGAGAGAGGATTGCACGTAATGAACTCGATTTAAAAGAGGTATTGATGAGATTCCCCCTTGGGTTGATCCTGAGCATGTTTCATATTTATTTACGTGAATCAAAAACTCAAAAATATTGCGCTAACACATAGTTTATTGTGTACCACATGTATACCAAAGAAATTAAATGGTTTGAGGGCGACTGGCGCATCATTGTTACAAGCTATCAATAGTTTTTAACTTGCTTTATGTTATCTGGATATCTGTCGTCGTTTTTATTAGGAGTGTTTATAATACACACGAGTGATATTGTTACATATCTAAACTTGAATTTCAACTAGTTAAGGTCTGTAGTAAAATTTATAGGGGTAAAATTACAAACATAGGCGTAAATAAGTAAAAACAGAATTGATTATAGACTCGGTAAAAACGACGTGGACTCGAAATCGAATCCGAATCCAAAAAATGCCTGGATTCGACTCGAATCCGAGTCCGGATCCGAATCCCGTCCCATCTCTATTTGCAACACGTCTAATCTGCGAAGTACGGTGGAGGACGCGCAACCCCATGCTACAATACGTTATGAAGATAAGACTCAAAGAGAAAAAAATTACCTAATTGCACACTGATCCGCATGTTGGTTAAAATTCAAACTTTCCCACCTTTATGAATATTTGGTTTGAACAATCTATAAACTATAAAACAATATAACTATATGCTAAATAAAA